TTTGTATCGTTCTATTGTCCCATCAGCTTTGTACTTTACATTAAAGACCCATTTGCAGCCAACAGGTCTTTTCCCCCTTGGTAGCTCTACCATATCCCAAGTTTTATTTTTCTCCAATGCTTCCATTTCTTCTAAAACGGCATCTTTCCATTTGGGAATAGACATGGCTTCCTGAATATTTTTTGGAATTTCTATACTATCAAGGTTAGAAGTAAAAGTGCGAAACCCTATAGAAAGAGTGTTGTATGATACAAATTTTGAGATAGGGTGAAGAGTACATGACCGGGGTTGTTTTTTAATAGCAATAGGTAGGCTTCTGAATTGTTTTTTGAGAGTACATGACCGACAGTTTTACCACTTTTAGGCGACTCGTTTTCTGAATTGATTCCAGCCAAGAGGTAGGCTTTTTCAACTGAGGCTTTTTTCATTGTGACTGCGCCAATTTTTTCTGTTTCTGTCATCGATGGCTTAGTTTAGAATCACTCCGGCTCTTATACCATATTTACAGTAACGAGACAAGGATGAACAATGTGTATATTCGCCTTAATTGTTACAATCTAACGAGTCCAATTTATAATAGTTTCTAATCTAAGAAAAAGGAAAAGTTTCATAATCTAAATAAGGTACATAATCAATTATACAATTATATCCCAAAATACACGGGATTTCTACAACTTGTAACTCTTACTTGGGGATCGTTTGGATGGTGAAGCATCCAACAAGAAGCTGGTCCCATAGCGTTACCTAGGCTTTGCTTAGCCTCTTTCTCTACATTCATATATTGATAATATCACGAGTGGACAGCAAACAAGAAAAATACCACAGTAAGAAAGCAATCCAATCTGGAACAAGGTAGTTAAGGACTGCGAGTGATGAACCAATAGCAATCTGTGAATATGAAAAATCTGAGATTGTCATGATAATCATGTAACGTGCAAACAACTGCTGCAACTGTCACCAGTAAGGTCCCATAAATAAAATATTTTGGTGATGTTTAAAGATGCTAGATATTCTCAACTACGAGTTTGGAGATGATATAACAAGGCCTTAGCCTCTCCTGCTAGTGCAACCTGGGACATGGACAAAACAAGGTTTAAAAAACTGATACTAAAGTGGAACTGTTGTGAGGATGTTCACAAGCCATTCATTTACTAAGTTTTTCAACTTGTAAATTATCCAAGTGTAAATTAACTGGCAGACAGTGGAGATGATCCAGAAACTTGTATAATAGTTTCATAGATGATCTCTCATTAACGTGGTATAACTCAGAAAATGGTTTACCTTGAGCATGTGAATTTAGGCTACATAACTTGGGATGGCTAGACCAAGCTTTTGGTTGGTTCTGGTGAAGCTGTTTTGGGCTTTGGGGAAATACCAGGTTTGGCTTGTCCATGTTTGGTTATTTATGGAGATGACCAAAATCCTGCTGATGAAACCTGGGTCGAGAGCATGTGGTCAAAATCAAACAAGCCAGCCCATCCAATTTGATTTTAATCCTAAGTTAACATTTTCTTTGCTGTAATAATATTTTTCTTCGTGGAGATAATCTGTGAAGTCATACTTGAGATATCTGTGGAGGTACTAAGAATATATTCCATGTTAATTTGTGGCTTTAAACAGAAGTTCATATTTTGTTTTCTTTACAGGTGGACAATTGCTTTGATATATTTGTCTCTAAATTGTGTGACGGTATTTACACATACTACAAGAGTTGGGCAGCTAGGTATTTGCTTTGTATTTTTCACAGATAACACAATTATTTATTTGAACTACATCTTCAATTATAACAAGTTTGTTTTCCAATCTCCACAGTGAACTGCTTGATCCATCATTCCTCTTTGCATTGGACATTGGTGAAAAGTTTTCAATCCATCCGTTGAGATTCACTTCATTGTTAAAGATGACGAGGGTGAAGGTAAATGTGCAAATTTATTTATTTTAAGATAATCCTGCTTTTCTATTCGTGATGCTTCTCTAGCGCACACTGTTCACATTTCTTTTACTTAGAATCTTGCATTCTGTTCTAGAAACTTTGTTTGTCCAAATTTTAATAAAATCATCCTATTAGAAGAACTACCAGATTTTGGTTTCAAAGTTACTGGATTGACAGATTGAATCCCATTGATTTTTCATGTTTGAATCAATTGATTATAGAAACCAAGTATTTCTTTGATTTTTTTTTCTTCCTTTTCTTAGGGTAATGTACACTTTTCTTCCCCTTTTCTCTCTATCCCTTACAAAATCATATTATTGTGGTGTATAGCTGCTGGGAAGGACAATTAACTTGAGAAGTTTGATTGCGGAGAGGATGAACAAAGTATTCAGAAGTAATATCGAGTTCTTGTTTGATCGTTTCGAGTCTCAGGATCTATGTGCAATTGTGGTAAATGATGTTGACATTATTTTTTTTTCCTTATCTAAGTAGTTTTTTTTCTCTCTTAATAAATAGTTTAATTTCAGGAATTGGAAAAGCTACTAGATGTCACTCAACTTGCTCATGAGTTGCTGTCCAAAGATATCACTCTTGATTCATTTGGTCTCATGTTGAATGAGATGCAAGAGAATGTATCTCTTGTTTCATATTCTAGTCGACTTGCATCTCAGGTATGAGAACACTTTGTTTCATGTTATTTTGAGGTCCAAATTTCTTTCTTGTCCAGTCCCAATATTATTTTTTTTATGCATAAATTTTGATTTCAAGCACAAATTCAGCCACTCTGTTTTGAAATTGCAATCAATATACATTATGAAGGCTTCAATTGCCACTCATTTATTTTCGCGCAGTCCTTGGAAACAAATAATGAACATAATATTCTAGATCTAAATGTTAAAGTCATGAGCTATATACTATAAAACACGGATATAGACTTGGGGCAAGAGCTTGCTGACACAATTTTTTGAAAGTCTAGGACATAGCACATTGGGGATATCGGATATGTCAGTTAAAATACTTAACATATGCATGTATATGAATTTGTTCTTATTTTAATTCTCAACAAATTTAATACTCATCTTTTAGCTTTGATTCTGAATTAAGAAGTGCTATTTGTTATATTAAGATAACTTTGATTTGTACTTTGTAATACTAATATTTATTCATGTATCGGAAAATGCTTATTGTAGATATAGAACGAAATTGTCAAAAAGTTCTACAATTTTTCTCTCATTAGTTTAACATTCTTGCCAAAATGTTTTTTTATTAATAAAAAATTAGAAAATAGGGTTTGTTATTCCCCTTACAGGACAAAAATTACGAATATTATAAATCAAACACTCCATGTGTCATTTCAGATGCGCATTGGAGCTGTTTCAGTGCTGTGCCCCTCGAATGGAATTTTTTAAAGAAAGATGCAAAAAATAGTTGGATGCATGTCTTGGTGTAGTTGTCCCAGTTATTCGAACTGAGTGTCCATGCTTCACAAACTTTATAGGTGTTTTTAGAACTTCTCTCTAGTTCGAATAAGCACCATCAGGTGCGACTAGTGCAGAATTCTAAGGGAATGAGTAGATGATTCTAAATTTGATTGTGGTAGATGTTGTTGGAAGTTAGGGAATTACAAGAAAGTAAACCAGTTTAGTAGTCCTTGACTTTAAAGTTCCAAGGTACTATGATGGTAGATAAATGGCTCATTGAGAAAGATTTTTGAAATTATGAATTTATGAAGTCAATTGGTTTGTCTCGGCATGGCACTGCCTCATCTTTTGACTTCCCATATAAGGGAAACGATATTACACCGATTGAATTATCTAGTCAGTGTACATAACCAACATATTATGTTGACAAAGGTTACTGTTTTATTTTATTGATCATTTAAGAAAAGACAACTAACCCTTTGACATTTCATTTAACTAATAGGTTCAGATTTGCGATCCAAGAACCTGTATGAAAACCAATTTCAATTGCATTTAAAGATCTAGTCAAGTCATAATAACAGTTTTTACATATAAAATGAAACATATATAGACAAAATCGCATCTATCCAAAACTCACTGGTTCTGAAACAAGCCATCATTTCATTCCAATTATGCAGAAATAAGGAAAGAAGATTTGCTTAATGCATATTCTTTTAGTTCGATATGCAATAAGGAATGCTAATGCAAATTTATGTTTGATATGCATACAAGTGAATGTTGTGCAAGCATTGTATGCATAGAATGTAGTATGACTTTGGGTTTCCTTTTTGCCTGATTTGTGAAAGAAATGTATGTAACACGACTTATGTGTGTGTGTGTGTTTGTGTGTGTATATATATATACACACACACACACAATAACTTACACATTTTTGACTGACTTGCATCATCCATCTATGTGTTATAATGCTGGTTTGTTTTGAACATGAAGACCCATTACGGACAAGCTGCAGTCATTTGTTAGCATAAGATAAAACTTAAACTACGATATTTAGATAAAAGATCACCTTCGTAAGACTAAATGCATGTGCTCTGGTGTAAGGTGCTTATACAATTCTCAAATATGATTCCAGATTTGGACGGAGATGCAAAATGACTTTTTACCAAACTTCATCCTCTGTAATACAACTCAGCGTTTTGTCCGTTCAACAAGAGTGCCCCTTGTTCCTGTTCAGAAGCCATCAGTTCCGTATGCAAAGCAAAACTTCTATTGTGGTACTCAAGTAAGAAATTATCAATCCCTTTACAAGATTTGGGAAGTAGCTTTTTTTTGAACAGTTTAAATTCTCCAGAGGTTTCTTAGAGTCAGTTTTAGAACTAGTTATAAAAAGATTAAAAAATCTGCCATCCATTCAGGTCATAACAAAATATTTTTTTGCATTAATGCTTGAAATATTAGCATGTAATACAAAATAATAGAAAGTGGAAATCCTACATAGACTTTGACAACATTCTACTCAGTTCAGGCGTAATAGCATCTATATCTGTTTCTTAATTGATTGTTCAATTGAGTTCCTTCTCACGTCTCATAATATGAGAAAGAATAGAGCAATAGGAGTTGGATCAATTGCAATTTTTGCAATGCATTTTGATAAAATTGATCATCAAATGGTTATACCCTAAGTAACTGTAGTACAAAGTTAGTAGGATCAGGATTGGTTGGTGAAACACTTGGTGTCAAGTTTAGGTGGCAGAGCAGATTGAAGTTTTAGATTGTTATGTGGAACAGTTTTGGGCTTGAGGTTGATGCTATATCATAGACTAAATAGGACGTTCTTCAAGGAAGAGAAGGTGCCAGTGTAATATCTCAACTAAACACGCACATGCTCGGTCGTAATCCCAGTCTGATAAAATAGAATGGGAGAAAACCTACATACATCATCTCCTATCCAGCTTCCTGTACATATCAATTTTGTCTATATCTGTGTTGCGGTCAAAAACTATTATCATTTTCTTTATAGTACATCAATTTTGTCAGAGAGAAGGCATTTTACTGATTTTGGTTTCTTGATTCTTCTCTTTCCTATTAAACTGAATCCAAGTAGCTTTTCTATATCAAAATCATTTTTGCTATCCATTGACCTTTCACTTTCTCTTTTTATGTTAACGGCAGGATCTAAATTCTGCATACCAGAGCTTTGCTCGATTACATAGTGGGTTTTTTGGAATGCCTCATATGTACTCCATTGTCAGACTCCTGGGGTCTAGATCATTACCATGGCTCATCAGGGCACTATTAGACTTTATTTCAAATAAGGTACCTATTATTGCTGCTGACTTCTACCGTGATGGTTTTGCAGAAGGATGATAAATTTCTGTGTTTGTTGTTTTTCCTTATCTGGATTCCATTGTTCTCATCAGTTTACTGAGACGTTTTCAATAGCAAATTCTGATTAGGATTAATAACTAAATCAAATATATGCCTCGGGTTATTAGTACTTCTAAATTGGAAATAAATTTAAGTTACGCATTTACTTTTAAGGAGATTGTTGATTTGTGTGGATGATGTGAACCTGTGAGGTGATGGTATTTCGAATTTCACTACTTTTTCTTTCAGTAAGCTGTGTTGACCATTGATCTGCCACCATATAAATTCAATGTAATTTTGACTCAGTATTGCCCTTAATTCTGAGATTATTTGATATTACCTTCCGCGCTAATTTCCTTGTTACACTATAAAGCATGTAACTAATAATCATGTGAAGAATTATTAATTTACTTGTGTACCTCACATTGAAGGGGTCAAGAAGTCATATTTCTGTGATGAATGTCATGTTTATATCTACGTAACTTATAAAGGAAGCTGTATTCCAACATTTTGTTATTACTATTTCAGATAACTATCCTAGAACCAATGATCGCTGGACTGCAAGAAGCTTTACCAAAATCAATTGGATTACTTCCCTTTGATGGTGGTATGGCAGGTAAATGGTTTATGATTGTTCATTTCAGAGGTATCTTATTCCTCTATTAGTGCTATAGATGGTATTTATAATTCGCATCTCATACTAGTATACTGCAATTGTTGGCAGAATTGTCAATCCCAGTTTTTAGATATTGAAAGAGAATATTTATGTATTTTTATTTTTTTAAAGGGGTTTTCGCATATTCTTGTTTATTGTAAAATATAAGGAATAGCATATATGAAATTGTTTACAAGTTTTGCCTTTTACTCCACGATATCAAAACTTGAAGAAAGGACGTGGTACTTTACCTGCACTTCTGGATTGCTTTATAGACTAGTTAGGCTCATATTTACTAGCATTGCGTTTATGTGATCTCCTATTCGACGTGTTTACAAGGCTTTGCCCCTTCTCAGGTGATAATGAAATAATTTTTTTAATTTATTATAAGTAAAAAAGAGCAGTTGATGCAATTTTTATCTCTATTTAGGCTCTTGAAGGTTCTGTTTTTCTTATGGTACTTGGGGAAGTTATATTTTCTTTAAGTAAATCTCTTTTTTATGGCTATGTGGGGTCTTTAAAAGTCTTGATTCACTGATGCTATTAATATGTAGATGTTGAACTATTAATCACTTAAAAAACAAGATTAGCTTATATCTGGCATTGGTCGGAAACATTTTAGTAACTGTTTAGATAAAAGACCAAATATGAATTTCAGTGGTGGGTATTTGTTTTTGTATTTATATGTATTTCGGGTTTGTCTTTTTTTTTTTTTCATGTTTCCTTGCTTGAACATTCTTATTTTTATGCTTAGGTTGTATGAGGATTGTTAAAGAGCATCTTAATTGTTGGCATTCCAAATCAGAACTCAAAGCAGAGGCTCTTCGTGGGATAAAGGAAATTGGAAGTGTGTTATACTGGATGAGTCTTCTTGATATTGTTATGGTAAATTTCTAAGAGTCCTTACTCTTCGTGGAATAAAGGAAATTGGAAGCCTGTTATATTGGATGAGTCCTCTTGATATTGTAATGGTAAATTTCTAATAGTCCTTATATCATTTATAATCTGGGGTTTTGTTAAGAGTTACTAGCAGCTACGGATTTGGTGGAAGAAATATTTGCTGAAAAAATCAGCATCTGGAACCAAGTAGAAGATTGCTATTTTGACCCTGTTTCTTCTTCAGTTTCCTTTTTATTAAAACACTATTCAAAAAAGAAAAAAAATTAATAGCGAAGATGTTTCTATTTGCTTCGGTCTAAGTATCTGAGACTCTAATTGATAAGTACTTTGATATGCAAACATCGTGAAAGTTCATTCAAAATGTAGCTTCTTATACTTCTAAGCTCACTTGTTATGTAGAGAGAAGTGGACCATAGCCAATTCTTGCAAACTGCGCCTTGGCTGGGTTTGATTCCTGGTGCAGATGGGCAAATCATGCAATCCCAGGATGGTGAAGATAGCCCGGTTGTAACTCTCTTCAAATCTGTAGCTTCTGTAACTTCATCAAATCTTCATTTCTCAAATCGGTCGGTATTCCGAGTGCTGTCAAGACAGGCAGAAGCTGCTGGTACGTAATTATTCATTATCTAGCCATCTAATTGACACGTGTGTCTACAATGATTGATGGATGGAAGTTGTTAAAAAATTTCGTGGGTTCAAGTAATGAAGCTAAAGCTCCTTTATGTCTGTAAAAAATTCTGACGATAAAATAATTCATAGACAAAGGCATGGTAACTGTTTGTCTATAAAAACAATTGAATTAAAAGGTATATGAAGTATGACATCGAGAGATTGTATCATTTATTGCAACTTAGCTTCTCATTCTTCACTCATTTCATGTTAAAATTATGATAAAATTGGATACGGTGCCACAAAGGATAATGGTGAGAAACAATTTATTGATGGAACTGCATATCGAAACTTTATTTTATGTCAAAATACTTCCTGGTTTACCGAATATATTCTTGACAAATACTTTTTTTTTCCTTTTCTGTTGGAGGAGTTTAACATCTCTGTTTGCATTTCCACTAATATTTCAGTATGCTTTTGGGACGTGTCACCTTTAAACAAAAGAAATGAACTTCAGAAAAGAATCTGACATGGACTCATGCTGACTAATAAAAAGAAAAAGAAGAGGAAGCAAGGAGGAAATTCTCCCAAAGATGTGTTAATATTATTAAGACCGTTAATAATTTTCCCAGTTTATGTGATACTCATTTGTTTTCTTTTTCCTCTTATTAATTAATATCAGTGTTACCTTTACTGTTTCCCTCACGTCAATTACTCAGTCTTTTAAATTTGTTGCAGATCTGTTATATAAGACCAACATTAATGCCGGAAGTGTGCTGGAATACGCACTTGCTTTCACAAGTGCAGCTTTAGAGAAATACTGTAGTAAATGGAGTGCAGTTCCCAAGACAGGGTTTGTTGACATTACAACTTCGAAAGACTTTTATCGTATATATAGCGGCCTTCAAATAGTAAGACTGTTAATTGTTTCTTCTATTTTCATTCTTGTAATATTATTAGTTGCCTCCTAATTGTAGGATATGTTTTAACTTGTATTCTGCTCTTGATTTAAACCATCACTAAAAAATATTCCAAATTGATTAGGCACACCAATAGTATCACGGTATGAACAGTATCTTGATCTTTCTAAGAGTTTTGGCAAATTGGCATTATTGATTGACTGTGACTTCTAATTTGCATTGTTGGCTCCACTTTTGCTGGTTTTGACACTGCTTAGGAATTTTGGGATTGGCAATAGCTGCAAGGAAATATATCAATTCAATAGTCTAAGGTACAAAAAACCTAAACAGGACCTTATTTATATAGGTCTACAAGGAGTTCTAGAATTAAGATATAACCCAGTTGATTAGAATCCAAAAAGTAGATTATAATTAAAATTGTGTATGAGTCCTTGTATTAGGAAACTGTCATGAATGAATATTGATAGTAAGGATTTATGTTGTGAAGGAATATTGATAGTAAGGATTAAAATAAACCTTAAATAACTGAAACAGGTGGTATTCGATCCTTGGATTCCATCAAAGACAGATGAGCAGAAATATTTCAGAGTACTCAAATTGTGATTTCATAGATTTCAGTATAGTCATTTCTTGTCATGAAACCTAAAAATATCATATTTCAGCACGAAAAAGGTTTGTTGTTTTTAAGGGTCAATGTACGCCGTTGACTAGTAGGAAATGAACCTCAAAGTATTTGAAAAGAATACAAGCAGAATAACATATTTGTTCTCTCTTATTTGTTGTCATTTATGTGTGTACTTATTGATAAAGAAAGTTGATTTTCTTGCTGCCATTGATCTAGATATATTTATTAACCACAGGAATACCTTGAGGAAGCCATTCAAGCACAATCGAGCAATCGCGAAGTGTTGGGTGATTCAGTTGCCTGGGGTGGTTGTACAATAATCTACCTTCTTGGCCAACAGTTACATTTTGAACTGTTTGACTTTTCACATCAAGTCCTCAATGTTGCAGAGGTTGAGGTAGTATCAGTCGCACCAACCCATAAGAATCTTCATATTGTCCAGGTAAAATGATTTTCTTTTCAGTTCATCAATGTCCGCCAATATTGAAAACTAGGTTGCAATGAATTTCTGAAAATACAAAATGATATTCTTTGTATAGTTTTTGAGTAAACTAGCTATATTTTTTATTCTTGGAAAATTTCTTCTTTGGTTGCATGGACTTCTATGAAGGTACTTCTGCTTATCAGTTTAGACGTTATATAATTTCTTGACCAAGTTATTTCATTTTTTATTGAAGAAAACAAGATTCGGAATATCATTTTTGAGCTACCTTGCTTGCTGTGACATAATGTTTATGGCTGTCTGTGTATTTTCCAACTTTAGTCTCGATAAAGACCTATTTATTCTTCTTGGTGCACGAGAGGTGCAAAAGAATAGTAATGAGATTCTGAATACTCTTGTAGTCTAGTGTGAGAAAAATATTGTTCGAGGAATTATACAATATACTATGACCATTTTTTTGAAGGTTTGCTACTTTAAAACTATATCTATAGTTACTGCTATACTTTTGAATGAGATGATTGCAACAGAATTTGAATAGATATATTCAGTTTTTGAAACGAGTCACCTAGAAGGTATGATGGTAGAGAAATTTCTGTTGTATTGACTGGATAAGTAACCGACTTTAGGAGCTGTCATATTCGATTGCCTTCATTTATGTCGTTCTTTTAAACATGCTGATTAATACAACTATAAGTTTTTTTGGGTGGATTTAAGGGTTTGTGTCCTGAAATTGTTGGACTGTGTAGAATCATTCTCCTCGATCAAGGATAGACTTGATATCTTACAATATCTATAGTGAATTTTCCGGGGTACCATTTCCTGCGGATTAGATCTAGGTGTGTTTAACTTTGTAATTGTATCCGACTGAAAATCTGCAGCAACGAATGGACTTAACTCTCACATTAAGGATTAATCACTATGAATCTATATTTGTTTGCGTTTTTCTTATTTTGTTGCTTAATATTGCTCTCGAAGTTGGTGATTTAGGTTTTACTCTATAACACAACACAGGCTACAAATTCTTAAAAAACGTTGCTTCATGCTGGCTGCACTTGTACTAATTCTTCGCCATTTGGTAGTTAGTTCTGATTTCGACTGATTTTTATGTCGCTTTTGACAGAGTTCAGAAGCCATATTAGAAGCTATGAAGAAAGCAAGACGACTGAATAACCACGTATTTTCAATGTTAAAAGCACGCTGCCCGTTAGAGGACAAGCAGGCTTGTGCAATTAAGCAAAGTGGTGCGCCACTGCATCGAATCAAGTTCGAAAATACGATCTCGGCCTTCGAAACACTGCCTCAGAAGGGTGCCTGAACAATGAGTTTCTCACCCCCTTTCTTCATATTGTACGTCTCTTTTGTTTGTTGTATTTTTTTTTATTTTCCCTTTATATATTGTGTAATTGACCCTCACAATCCAACTAATCTTTAAGAACACTCCTTTTGAAAAGGAAATCCAAGAAAAGTCTAGGGAATATTTCACATTCAAGAGAATAAGACCTATTTCAAAAATAAGAAAACAAGTTTGAAATTTCCAAAATCAGATTTTTATTAAAAAATTTTAAATTTTTATTTAAGAAATAAATTAATTTATTATTAAATATTTAATTCTAATATAATATAATTAATCAATCCC